CCAATAAGTTTAAAATTGAGAAGAAGGATCATTCCATGTTCGAATATTGTAGAGATAAATCGATTACAATCGTGAGCCTGATGTCTTGGTGTTTAATCTTGTAGTGTTTAATTGCGGAGTGGTAAAAACTGTGCTACAATGGAATTCCAGTTTGTTGCTCAAGAAAAACAAAGAAAGCATCAAGACAGATGTCCACTAGCAGTTAAAACAGTGTTTAATTAAACCCAATTCGATGATTTGCTCGACAGTGTCGAAACAGAAGACAACGGCATTGAATTGTGTCAAAATTTGGTTAGTTTATGGAGCTTAGCTTACATGTAAGGAAAAAAGTGGATTTCAAACTCAGCCAAGGTAATCTCAACTACGCCAGAGAGAAGTTTGTACAAAAAGACTAAGGTTCGTTATTAAAATGCAAATTTTTGAGATAACTAGACCAACGTCACTGTCTGTTGATAATTAAAAGAGAAATGAAATTCTAAACTGAGAAAAGAAAATTATTAAAAAAAAAAATTTTCTGCAGGTGTTTAGTATACAGGCTTGATCCGTCCTAAAACATGTCTACCGCATTGTGACTAAATGTTAACAAGACGCCTGCTTAGCAGTATACCCGTGGTCTGATGACTAATTCTATTCCGTTTTGACCATCCTATAAAAACGTGAAATAATGTGGGAAAAAATATGCCAGGGGCGTATGATTTTTACAGCTTCTTAATTTGAGCAACCCATGTGTTTGGATCAGGCCACCAGTCATTTAATTGCTTAAACATTTGACAAATATTAAGTTTTTATATCAAATACCAAAAGTAATGTTACAAGTCCTATAAACAAAATATAAAAGCTAAATATTCTTTAATGCCAAATTGCAGTGCTAGAATCTCTTAAGAAAAGGAGCTGTAAAAATTTGTAAACAACTAAATATCGATGTCTAATACCGGTCTAAATATCGATGATAATTAATGCTTTATAATGGAAATTAAAACTATATATGGAATCATTCAAATTGTTGTAGCGTAGCTTTGTTATCTGTGGGTATATATTTTTCATCCTTCGTATTATTTGTAAAAAGATGGTTTTAATTTTTTAGTTTTGAAAAATTATATTTTGTCATTCTTTGCAGTCGACAAATTGTGAAAGCTCAAAGCCTTCTGGGTGAAAAGTCGATTTCTGCCCATCGCAAGCCGAAACAATTACTTGTCTTTTCCCGAAAATACTCCACAAAAAAAGTAAAAACTACCGACAGACAGTGCAACACTTTTCGTTGTTTATTTTTTATGTGTTTCTTCTTAAATGAAAATCTCGAGAGAGATTCTGCGATATGCTATCTGTATAAAAATTCTACACAAAAAAATCACGTCTCCTACAAACAATCATCCATATTTGGTGGGTGAAATAAATGTAGAATTATTTGCAGGCTTTTCACAATTATGCAATAAAAGATAAATGTCCGCCGAATTCACATCTGTTACGAGAATGTTCAGCACAGCCCAAAAATGATAAAATTGGCCGAGCAGATTGTATATCCGCATTAACACAAGCTAGTTAAATCAACAGATGAAATTTTAATGTTTATAAACATTTGCATATTAAGTATATTATTTTAAAAATTTCTTATGAGATTTTGATGCATGCGACTTCATGGGCAAATTCCATTTGACGCCACTTATACATAGCCAATGTCTCAGTCTAATTTCTTTCTCTGTTTGCACATTTTTACATGTGTTTTATTGGATACAGCTTATTTTATGTATTATTTAAAGTAGCATTATTTGTTTTAGTTTTTCGCAATAGAATTTTAACTTGAAATCTTCATTGGAGATATGCTCTCATATTCTTTTGTAATTAGTAAATATTCTTCCTGTAATTAGGTCAAGTGTGACTAGCTAAATGAGTATTTTAAGCGATATTTATGAATGGGGCGCGAAGTGTATCTATTATTTACGGAATTTTTAATGTTTAATTTCATTATTTATTATATAACCAAAAGTAATAGGTTGGTTATTTCAAATAACCAATTTTCCGAAACATGGTTATTTAGCAAATAACCATTTTTTGGACTAGCATAAGTTTGGTTATATCAAATAATCAATTGACAAAATTTGGTTATTTAATATATAACCATTTTCAGTTCGGTACCGATTAGGTTATATCAAATAACCAATTGAACGCTACTTGGTTATTTATTAATTAATCATTTTCAGTTTGGTGCCGATTTGGTTATATCAAATAACCAAAAAATTTTTGTTACACTTGCCACACTTAAGATGGCATAACGTTAGTGATCGTATTACCCTCTTCCGCTGAGGAAAGTTATGAAGCATGGCTTCCGATTCAATATTATAGTTCACTGATTTAAGCAGAAAGCGTACAAAACAAGGCATTATAATACAAATGATACTTTGAGAAGGCTGACAGAAGCGATAGGAAGGGTAATGACGCAAACTTTGAGTACAAGAACGGTAAATGAGCGAGTTGTTTCGCATTTAGTTTATATTAATCCAACAGTAGTCTGTCTTTATTCATTTGAAACAAATTTAACAGATGAGCATTGAGCACGAGACAAAATGATCTACTGGTCATTCAAACCAGTGGCTTGATATACAAGAAATCAAATATATTTCGCGTTCAGATTTTAAGTACTTTTCTCAATCAGCAGGCATCAACCACTGATGACATCCCAAGCCAAAACAGTTCTAATACTAGTTACGGTCCAGCCTGTCCTGGTACGTTGACTTCTTTACAGCTGACCCTGGGTTACTAACTTACTATGTACCTGATCACTAGAGATGTTTTCCAGAGACACACTATTCTTAACCTTTATTGTTTCTCCAAAATTTTATTTTACATGATTAAAAGGAGCAAAACATAATTGTGATATTCAAAATTTGTTCTCTGTAGCATAAAAATCCAACTCAAGCTGTTTATAACTTGTTTTGTGCATCAATGTTAGGGTTGATGCTATATTCAATGGGTTGATGCTATGTTTTGCCATCAATGTTTGGGTTGATTGTCAATGCTTTATTTAATTGTCTAGATAGTAACGACTGAAAATATCCATGATTTACATGAAAGTTATCATATTGTATTCCTCTAAATCATGCATTTTTGAGATATAATTTTTTCTTTATGCACATAAATTTGTGCATTTTAATGTTGGATATCTCCACATATGAGTTACTATCCTCTGTAGTTAGTTTATTGATAATTATCGTGGTATAGAAAGGACTTTATAAAATTCAAGTTGTGCCTCTTTTCTTTCAGAGGTGAAAATGATGTTAACAGAAGGGCTGGCCGACCATGAAGAGAGTTAACAAAGAACATTTGTTGTAACTTCTTCAACTGAAATTCCAATATGTGATGTTGCAAAAGATCATTTAGTGTCGAGAATAGTAGTTAACTAATATATAATTAGTTAGAATGTAGTGTTTTAGTTTTGGTGTTGTTTGTAGTTTTTTTTTCCTTTTCTTTAGTTGTGAGTGTATGATGGGTATGTCGATATGTCTGTTTATTTTGTCGTTGTCTTTACTGTACCAAGCTTCTTTAAATTCGCGTGCGTGTTTAGTCTGTGCGCGTCCGAGTACTTTAGTTTCTATCCAGTCGAATGTGTGGTTGTTTCCGTGGGTATGTTCTGCCGGTAGTGAGTTCGGATCTCGTTGTTTTATTGCGTTTTTGTGTTCTGTGAGTCTTGTTTCAATTTTCTTAGATGTTTGTCCTATGTATTGCTTTGAACAATCTTTACATGGTATGATGTAGATCGCGTCAGTTGTATCATGAATTGTTGTTTTGTCTTTATGTTTGGTGAAACATGATTTGAGTTTTTGTGTTTTGTGGGCGACGTTAATATTAAATGGTCGAAGAAGTCTGGCAGTCATTTCTGATGTTCCGTTTATGTATGGTAATGTAACGATTCTTACTGTTTCGTCCGGTTTTTTGTTGCTTTTGTCGGTTTGTGTTTCGTTTTGTATTTCGTATGTAGTTTTGTTTATGAAGTTTCTAGGGTAATTGTTTTTAATAAATGTGGAGTATAAGTAGTTGCGTTCTGTTTTTTTGGCTTCTTCCGTATTACAATGAGTGTTTATCCTGTTGAAAAGTGTTCGAATGCAGTTTATTTTGTGTTGTGTTGGATGATTGCTGTTGAAATCGAGTATTTGGTCTGTGTGGGTTGTTTAGCGGTATACTTGTGTGTTTAGTGTACCGTCATCTGTTCTGGTTAGTAGGATGTCGAGGAAAGTAAGTTGTTTGTCGTGCTTTTCGTCTATAATGAAGGTTATATAATTTGTGCTATTGTTTTCGGTGTGTAGGATTTCTTCTGTTTTGCCTTTCTTGACTATGGCAAAGATGTCGTCAACATATCTTTTCCATAGTCTGATGTTTGTGTTGTTTGTGTGTCGATGTATTCTGATCTGTCCATGATAACTGTCTTGCGTCTTTTGTTAGCTCGTAATATGATTATTCGGTCGTCGTTTTGTAGGTTTTTAATTGCTCGTAGTCCTTAGTTGTTTAGGGTGACTGGTGCTTTGTAGCAGAGGTTATTGGTGATTTTGTGACGAATGTCTTCTTTCGTTTTGTGTGTCAAGTTGGTGTACTTTAAAGCTGAATCCAGGTCGGCAACGTAGTCAAGTTTGTTCGCGTCTTTAGTGATTTCCTCGAGATGTTTGTGTCAGATTCGGTTGTGTTGGGATGGAGTTGTTTCTAAGATCTTCATTCTTGTAATAATCGACGAAGTTCGTGGTGTCATTTTGTTCTATATCCGGATGTTGCTTTTGATGACTTCCTTAATAGAATTAACGTCTGATTGTGTAGTGTATGTTGTTACGGATTCTCGATGTTCTTGTAGTTTATGTCGGTAGATTCGTAAGCGTTGTTGGCATCTCTCCAAGCAGACCCCAGCATAACGACCAACAACCGCATCAACCAGAAAATGAAAGAACTGAAAGACAAAAAGAAACAGAACGAAAGCGATTACAGAACAATCCGACACAATGTCACATCCACCGCCAAAGTCTATGGACTACTTTTTGATTTTAATTTTTTGATTTTGAAGTACTTCTTTCAGTGTCCTTATTCAAGGATTTTTCAAGGGTTTTAAGTACCTTTTAAGCACAAACCCTAATTATAAATCAAACGAAATATTAATGCCCATAGTTTGCAAATAGACAATTTCGCAAAATTAGCTACAAACGTTTTCCACAGTTGGCTATTTCAGACAACCATATTTGAAGTTTCCCTCGACATTCTGCGATGCTCATTTCACTCAACAGAGCATCAAGTTCTTTCTGGTTTTCTTAAAGCAAATTCTTTATCTTAAAAAAACATACGTACGACCAGTAAGTTTTCTATTACTTTTGATAGCTGTGTAGAATGATACAATCAGTGTCAGATAAAACATAACAGGAACATGCTGAAATCTGTTTCTTGCAAAGGACTACAGGTAATTTCAAAATTTTTAACTTATTCCAATGGAAGACATGCTCTGTGATGCTTCATTATAGCCTGTAAATGTTACAGGATATTATGCATTTACATTGTTTAGGAAGTCGTCAAGAACTTCATGTGTAAGAGAAAAATACGTACATGCAGCATGCATATATTTTGTTATCGAGCCCAATCTTGATATATAACTATTTATTTGCTCTACCTCCTCTCCTGTAGTGTAACCAGTTTCTTGCTGCCAGGGCCCTCCTAATGTAACTTTAAAATAATAACAAAATACATACCTAAATCATGGCTCGATTCAAGGCAATAACAAACACAAAAAAGGATATAGAGCAATAATAATAATTTTCAACTACGTCCAGTACTTGCAGATAATATCTTGCCAAAGAATTTGCGAGGAACTAGTTTGTTCATTTGAATGTAATGGGTATACCCATACAACTCTCCTTGGTGCATATCAACAGCATCTTGAGCTATTGAATGGCGACAACCAGCAACCACCAAACCAGTTTTGTCAAGCTTTGACAGAGAATTAGTGGTATTTTTGCAGCTTTCCAGTGGGAAGTTCCACAGTATGAGTTTGCAGACTGCCCCTGGATAAGAAATATTTCAATACTTGATTGTTTGAATAATTCTGCATTCCCTGACTTTAACTTTCTAATACGTACAAATATGTATATACTATTAAAGATATTCAGGCAAATGACCTTCGCTGACTTGTGGGAATAAACACTCCTTAGATGCTCCTTGACAGGTTCGTCCTCTTTAATAAACACATTAAGGTAGTAACATTTTCTTCCCCTTCTATAAAACAACAATAAAGCTGAAAGCCGTTTCATTTACATCTCATTCATTTGACTTCACACAACATAGTACAAATGTTTCACTGCTAAAACAGGTAACATCGAAACACAAGCAATGCACATTATTAAAATTACAAAAATTTTACTTACATTTCTAATAAAAAACACAGTACATTGGAACACATTTGTAGCGATAGAGTTTAGCATTACCATCAAAATGACAGTAATGCCGGGATATATAGCAACTGGGGCATTGTATCCATTCCCCCACAATTAAGTCAATTTCATGACAAACAAACACTACTCTTTGAATACACGATGGAAAACTCTAGGTTTAATAACATCTGACTGGAAATGAAAATGAAAATAAACAATGCCTTCAGTCAAATAAAACACCTTCTACGTTAATTAAAAAAGCTGCAATTTACTTTGACTAAGTAAATTATTTCAGTTAGGTACTTTAATATGAAGCATCTTCGTTATAAAACAACATCTTATACTATTGAGATTTTACACTGTTCTTTGAAGTGGACACTGACCCCAAAGATTTTAAAATGCCGATTCGGATTTGCCAGGCATGTGCTTTCTGATGGAATCCCACATTCTAATTACATCTTCACTGAAAACATAGTTAAAATTTGTGGGGCTACCAGGACAATATCCTTCACTTACTACTTTCTCCATCACCATTGGTGAAAATGCTGATTGCAGTATGAGCAACTGTATGAAAATGAATACAATGTTTCTGCTCTACTAAAACACCAAAAAAATTATGTTTAACTTATAAAATATTACTATTTAGGCAAAATACATTTATATGACAATAATTTCACCTCGCAATTACTTACCATTCATTGTGAGTACAATACACATGTCGTCACTTGGAATAATGGATAATTCATTCTTAGAGTTACAATTTATACACTCTTTACAAAACAGAAATGGTGCATATCGTTCTAAAAAGAAAACTATTTTTTAGAATGCCTGATTTGTCCTTTCATCATGATCATAAAACATACTAACTAACAAACCCCAACTGCCCATTTGACGAGAATGTTTCAGTTGTGGAAACTGACTGGTAGAAACCATTAAACCAAGCCACACTGTCATGTAATGGTTTACTATTATGGGTGACAACATCACAACTTGAGCATAATAAGACAGTGGGACCACATTGTCGACACCTGATTACCGCTCTCTTTTCTTTACCAAAAACCACATGGTTTCTTGTGGGGGAATCGCATGACATTTAAGGACAGCATAAATTATATCAGCTCTACTCTTCTCCAATGCAGCATCCACTGATTGCATCTTTTTTATCTATCTTGATATTCAGGGGCGATCTAGGATTTTTTAAACATCAGTCATAAAACGTCAGAGGCGCTCCGGACCATAATGGGGGTTCTGAGGCATTCTTCCCTGAGAACTTTTGAATTTCAGAGCCTTGAAAATGCCATTATCAGCGTTTTAGAGCAATACAAAATGCATTTTGTGGGCATCGTTTTAGGGTAAAAACAACACATTTTGCTTACGTTTTTCAAAAAAAAAATAAAGTGAAGAATACTTGAATGTTTTGCCAAATATTTAGGCTCATTATCATGCCAAATGTATGGCTCATTAGCATGTCTAGGAAGGTAAAATTTATTTTACAATAATACTGTTCAAAAACAGATACAGTCTTTAAAATTTCTACCAAGTTGTCAGGCATAGACCCGCTAGATACAACTATTCAAACCTCTATGTAATGAGTTAAGTTAGAAATTTGGTACTACAAGTGACAGTTCATAGATATAGAAAAGCTCATACTTCAAACCATGAAAGTTTATTGTAACCCTTTACCTATCTCCACATCAGTGCCAGCAAATTCACATTTTGAGAAAAAACTCAAAATTTTTTTCTTCTAAAGATTAAGCAAAATTTATCAGAGTGAAAATTTGCAGTTAAGGACAGTTTAATGCCACAAATGTTTATTAAGCATTTCACTAAACTATTATCTTCTGTGAGAGTATATGCAAGGTGTGCTATATAGCAATCATTAGTAGCATTGTATTAGCAAATACAAACAGAATGTAACCACCATGTCTTTAATTATATAATTACATGAATGTTAAAATTGGTTCATGTGTCATGCTTACTGGTTATGATAAATATCTTTTCATATGATCAAAGCTCGTTTAAATGTAAATCTGAAATAATTTAGTTTAGAAATTATAATGATCATCAGAAAAATTACCTAGTGATCATGAAAATACTTTGCTGTTTTGGCAAATTTCAAGGTTTATCTGCATACATTGAAGACATTTTACTTTGGAATTTATGGCAAACAATCTTGTATAAGCCATAGATTAACACACCTTTACATCTCTACATAGGTGGTCAATTAGAAAATGGGACAATATGTGACATGGGACAACATTTCATGTAGGTGAAATACTCAGGTTTAATACCATTCCAGTCAAATTGTCAAAATAAAAAACTTCATGGATCAGAAGACTCAAAATCATAGGTTATAGTAAACAGCTTCTCATGTAATCAATGTTAGTTTTCTCAAATCTTAAACAATATGTATTATAACTGTCTAATGATTGAATGATCAATGATCATAAACTGAAAAGCCCCAAACATTTGTTTATGATAAAGTAAATAAGAGTATGGCGCCTTATGGCTACAGATTTTTTGTCCATTGAAATAAATTTGCAGGAATGTAGGATTTCACTTCCATATAATGGTCACGATCCCCCAAGAATTAAAGAAATCATAGCGAAAAGTCGCGGCAACAACAGTTTTAGAAGCATCAATCTGTTTACTATACGCCAAATTAACATAAGTCGCATCACACACTCGCATAAATTGACTTTGATATATTACATTCATGCATACACTTCAGTTGTCTTTACTTACGATTTTGGATGTAAATTTCTGTTGATAAAACTCAAAAGAATGTTGGCTTGCTTTTTAACATCAATGACTGAAATGTCGCTCCCGAGATCGTATTTGCCAAACATTTACAATTCAACCATAAATTATTCGCCCTCTTGAAAAAATTCACAGTTTGGACAGCAGCATTCATGTCAATATATGAATTTGTAAAGATTTCTATAAATTCCATCTGATTGTAGTTTAGTTTCTATCATGCTTATAAAATTACTATGAAACGATCAAACATTCAATTCAGACAGTGAGCTTGACTGTGTTAGTTCAGTTGGCTGTCAGTCGAAATCCGTCAAACCAATCATAATAAAACAAAAATTCAAATGAACCAATTGTAAGATAGCAATTGGATTCCTTTATACGTCCGGCCACCCCTATTATCAGTCGAGACCATTCCAGACTGTCCACTGATCTGGCCATTGACCAATAAAATAAGCGTTTTTGGCGTGCATAGACTCCTTTATCCGTCGAGCCAGTCAAGCCACCCGCTTATCAGTCGGTCATTCCAGGTCAATTAAAATTCAACTGATCTGGTTACCAACGAGATATTCATTGGATTAGTCATTAGTTTTCAATAATAAATAAAGCTGGATTTTTATCACGAAGTAAATGCGATGATAAAGTAAGAAAAATTAATGAATTTTTAATTAATATGAATAGGTAATTTTAGAATTTCAAACATCTGTTGCGCGACGGATTTGACATACTCTATATCCGCCCCTGTTGATATTCCATTGAAAGATTCCATCTAGTTAATTCTTCACAGCTAGCAATACAATTCTCTAAATTTTTTGTATGTAATAAATATAGCTCTCATTTGTGATAGCAACCAATTTAACAAGTTCGATTCTAAATAATGAAACGACTAACTTAAGAGGCAAGTTATCTTGCATTATGATATAAAACATTTCAAAATGAAATAAAAACACAAAAATTTGAATAAAGGCAACAAGCTTGGTATAGTAATATTTGTGCTTGTTTAAATAAATATTGTATCAATTTTATAAATTGTGGGTCAAACACTGAAAGAATAATTTTCTTGGGTTATTGCAGTGATTTATCTTATTGAATGTCAAGTATTTATGCAGCCTAAATTTAAGCAGGTTTTGAGATGATTCAGTGATTATTTGGTGATGAAGCTAAATCACTTTGCTATAATGTTTAAAACTAACTAGACTTCATCAAAGTTCATTGGTCTTCATAAATATTTTCACAGTGTCTAAAACTATAAGAAAACCAACAAACCTCTTAATGATGAAGGGCCTTCATCAAGAATACTCTCCCAACATCAGATGACACAAGATGAAATCACCTTTGCTGTGCTAATTAATGCTAATTGCTGTGCTTAAACGCCTACAAAGTGAAACCACTGGACCATACTATAATTCTTCATCTTAAGTGCTCTGCTATATTTGACTTATGAAGATTAATATTTCAATTCTTTAAAGATGGGCTTTTACAAAAAAATAACGAAGGCAGTTTGTTTTGTGAGTTTTTTATTTGTGATAATATTTGTAATTTCGAAGGCTTTTTGCCGTGGAAAAACAAACAGTCTGTGTTTACCAGCTGAATGAAGATATTGTGCGAATGAACAGCCAAGTTGACATTTCAAACAAAGTACAGCCTGATAGTGATTTAAGTAAAATTTCAGTATTCTTATTTCTGGGAATAGTATCAGCTCCTATCCGAATTGATCGGCGGAGGGCAGTTCGAGAAACTTGGTGGAAAAAATGTCAAGAAAATGAGGAAGTTGCTTGTTTCTTTGTCACTGATGCACAAGATAATAAAGGGTTGCCGTTGCTTAACGATGTATTGGCTCCATTGCATCAAGAAAATAGTAAACATAACGACCTTATATTTGCAGAATCGCCATCAGGCAGAAATCTTGGTCGACGAATCCTTTGGCTGTTTCAATGGGTAAATGAACGCTATGATTTTAAGTACATTTTGAAACTTGACGATGATTATTTCATATGCTTCGACAAGTTGATGGTGGAATTAAAATATTACAGACCAAGAAAATTTCTTGTGTGGGGAGAATTGCATTGCCGACGAAGAGGTAAATATATTTCAAAATATATCATTCCACTGCAATGATAATTACAGCAAACAGTCCTATTCCTTAGTCACAACTATTTTTATCTCCATGTTATAGCGTGAGCTTATGTTGTATACAAACTTAACAAATTGTGCATCAATAAAGCTCAAAATTTGTATGAATTGATTACAGACGTAGTATATTTAGATGAAAGAATATGCAACCGACGTAGTTTCATGTTTTGTGACGGTATTGCATACGTGGCCAAGGTGGAGCCATATCACTTTTTGTAAATTGCTGCATTAAAATGCAACAAAATTTACATTTTAGTGCTTTCCGGAAATGTTTGTTTATTACCAGATATCAAAATAATCCTAAATAACAATAATCCCTAATACTAAAGCTAAGAGAGAAACAATTTCTAACATTAGATAACTTTAAATGTGTACTTTAAGCCGGTATAAGTTTATTACTCTTCTACCTCTCGCTAATGACTAATAGAACTATAATCAGACTTCGACTTAAGGTAGCTCTCGTTTAATTTTCAATTCTATTACGTTATTAGCTATAGTCGTTACGCAGTTGTAGGAGGCTTCAGAGCAAACATTGTACCAATATTTGGAATGACAAACAAACAAGCCATCATAAAATCACGAAGGAAACCATCATAATTAAAAATGAATAAATCAGAAAACTATATACAGACACTCGTCAGGTCAAGGTCTCTAAAACAGAGTTCCCAAAATTAAAACTTTGTGTATTGAAATTATAAAAACTATGAAAAGTTTGTTCATTTGACCATCCTGCAGCACACATTATATCTTTTATATCATGGTTTTTTGAAGCAAGATGAGAAGTTGAGGCCGCCCTTGTACTATGACTTGTATAAATAGATGTGTCAATACCAGCATCAGTCATAAAACGTTTCACCCAATGTGAAGAAGTTTCAGTGGAAATAGGGCGGTGTGTTTTTATAAAAGGAAGATAGGAAGTTTTTTATTGTCACCACTTACTGGGGCCGTACATTTTAAATATTCCAAAATATGACTGGCTACACATAATCTTCTTTCGGCGGAGCAGGAAAAATATTAATGGTTGTTGATAAGTACCAGTTCTCGAATGTTTAAGCTTTACTGTTAAATAAGTAACCTTAGAGTCTTCAATTACCATATGATCTATAGACAATTTATTAATTGTTTGGCATTTTGCCTATTTAAGAGGGACAGGAGGAAAGCAAGAATGTGAGACAGTTCTTTGAGGGGGGGTTGATACCAGAGTTTCCTGGCGACGGAGATAGTTTAATGCAATGTTTACATCCCATTTCAAGCAATATTTTGGTAATGATGGCCGAGTTTCGTATTTACCTTTCATTAATCGTTTGACAATTGGCAACCTTTCGAATGGCGTATTGTTGCCTTCCCATGTGAGGATTGAAGATAAAGCACTTCTAGCCGTATTAATTCAACTATATGATAGTCCTGACTTATATAATTTTGATAGAAAAGTGAAAGCCATGGGCAAAGGGGGAGAGGGTTACGATATCGCAATCATTAGTACGACAAAATTCAAACCATATTTTAGCTGTTGACTGGTATGCGTTCTCGTGCGATCACGCCTTGAGTTTAGAATAATGTCTCTTGTGTCCGTTGAGAACCCTTTTACTTGTAGTTTACGCCTGATAAAAGACAGATAATAATGTTCAGTTTCTTGTGTAATGGGTGCTTGAGATTGGGTTGAGAAGGCAGAACTAGGAAGTCGGTTTTCGGTGGTAAGAGTTGAGGCGGTTTCTCTAATATTTGTACTAACAATGGTACCAACTCTAAGTTGGCCAGTCTGGAAAAACTAAAATTCCCCTGGCCTTTTCTTCTATTATCTTGCAGATGGCTTGCAGTATGCAGCTGAATGGGGGAAAACAACAGAAATTTTTATTTTTCCAGTTTGTACTAAAAGCATCAATAGCATGTTCGTAAGGGTTTAGTCTATAAGAAACGTAGTGACCAAATTGATGATTTAAGCGCGAAGTGCAAACAGATCGATGTCAGGAAGGAAAACAAATTGCGTCAGAGCTGGGACAAATACGTCAGATTAAGTGTCCAATCAGTGTCAATCTTTTTATTTCGTGATTCTTTATCGGCGATCACATTCTGCGTCCTTGGTATAAACGCTGCAGTTAACCACATATTATTGTGTTCACATAATAACCAAATGCAACGAGCAGTATCATTGCAGGATGCACTATTACTTGTGCCTTAGTTGTTAATAACAGAGATAGCAGTGGTGTTATGAATCATACATGTTTGTCAGCAAGAGAACAATGAAATTTTTTTAAAACAAAATAGGCAGCTAGAAGTTCTAGGTAGTTGATATCCTTTGACTTTCCCAAATTACTCCAGAATGCGCCAGTTCTTTGGTTCCACAAAACACCACCCCAACCAGAAAGTGATGCATCTAAGTGAACTACTACATCTCCCGCCGGAGTATGAACTAAATGCTTCGCATGTGGTAGTGATAACTGCCACAAATTTAATTCGTCAATTTATTTAGAGGATAAAGCCATGCACACATCAAATTTCCGTCGAGTTTGTTTCAGCGCGAATATTTTGTCATTTTCAACTGATCTATAATGGCATTCGCCATATTTTTCTGCAGGAAAGCAAGAAATTAGCAAGCCAATTACTCGAACAACTTCGCGTATGGTATATTTTGTGTTGAAAAGAGCACTAATTCGAGAGGTGATTTTGGAAAATTTTTCCGAGGATAGTTGTATTTTCATAGTGGTCGAGTCTAAAGCCTGCTTTCCTCTAGCCACGTATCGTAACGTATCGTAGTAAAACGTAACATGCCGCATGCGTGCTTGCGCCTATTGACCATCAAATTCATAAGAACGCATGCACCCTATTACGTTTTGTACGATACGTTACGATACGTGGTTAGTGGAAAACAGGCTTAACTCAAATCTAAAAAAGGCAGTTTTCTGTTGCGGGAAGAAGGAAGATTTTTCTACGTGAATGATAAAACTTAAACTTAAAAACAATTTAATGGCTTCTATAATCGTTTTTGCGCATCCTTCGTATGTTGTTGCAAAATTCAATATGTCATCTATGTATACTATTAAACCCCGTATGAAAATTTTAAAAGCTTTAACTAATATTCAGCTATATTAACACCATAGTATGCATCTCTCAGATCTAGTGATACCATCCAGCACCCGTTTGAGATAAATGATAGTGCAGTATGGATAGAATGCATTTTGAAATTAATCCTATTTACATATTTGTTCAATTTTTTCAAATTAAGAATTAATCTGACCTTGTCATTTTTCCTTGAAACGGAAAAAACAGGTGAGATGAACTCATCCTGTTCAGAGTGGATCATATTATGACGTGTTTCGCCAGGAGTTTTGAGATTTCCGTTTTAATCTTAAGCGCGTGTTCATTGCATATGTATAGACTTGTTTGACCTAATTTGACAATATGAGGACTTTGGGACAAAATCAATTATATCGCTTTTTACCATCTGTAATATTTGTGGATCAGATGTCAATTATTGCCATTTTTGAAGAAAACGACGTATTTGTCCCCCCGTTAATAATTGTACATTGCGTGTAAGTGTTGGTAATATTTTTGCTGTAAAATAGTGAGGAAAGTTATTGACCTGTAAATCTATTGATGAGTCTGTTGTCTGAATTGAAGGCGGAATGGTTGCCGAAATTGTTGTTGCTAGGGAGAGAAGTTACCCCTCCCCCTTCTGGAGAAAAAATTAGTTCGCTTTGCGGGTTGGCATGGCACGAAACGTGGGCGAGGTGTGAAATCGCTGGTTGGCATTTTGCCTTGCCATTTGGCATCAGTCATGATTTTGTTTAGGTTATTACCAAACAGAAATTCCTCAGGTTTATTTGAGCGGTTACACATAGGTTTTAATTTGCAACTAAGAAGCGGACGGATTGAATCTCGACGCTTGTATGACAGCTCAAGTTTACATGCCCTAATAAGGTAACGGCATGAAAGAGCCTGGGCAGGATGACCTGAAAATCTGGAAAAGACTTCGTCTCTCTACATTTTAATAAGTTATCGACAGTAACTGAGGGAGAACTTGCCACACGCGCAATAGAATCTTGTAGAACTGCGGTGCGCAAATCCCCCTGACGATGGAAGTTTTTAAGGCTTGACCATATAGGCTCATTGACCTTGGGCACAGTACGTTTGTCACAATTTTGTGTAGCTTAGATTTTTCAATTATTGTTCTGCGCTTTTCAAGACCAATATTTTAATAAAATTTTTCATTTGTATTTTGAGTGATTTTGGGATGAATCGCTTGACAGCATGCATTTTAAGGTCTTAACAAAACGTCGATTTTTTGCAAAAAGTCATCATTATTTGAATCAATATAATCGAAATCATTTCCACCAAACAAATTAACAACATCGTCATTGTTTTGCTAAATATTAGTTGCGTCAGTGGCTGAATTACCTAAAACTTCCTCTGAGTTTGGCGCACGTGCTTCCTCTGAAGTTGGTGTGTTGCCTTTCTCTGAGTCAAGCATTATTGAGTCTTCTGACTCGACATCATTAAAAATATTTTGTTTTGGCGCAAAGGTTGTAAAGCTCTAAGTAATTTATTGGTTTCTGCAATGGTATTTTGTATTGCAGAAGGCATACCAAATAAAGAAGAGCTTTCAGTTGGAGGCGCGATTGGTTGGACGTCAAGAGTAAGCTCGCAGTCGGACATCTTTTCACAAATAAATCAAAACGTAAATGCAGCTAGACTAAAGAAACTTAGCTTCTTAAATTCCAAGGTAAAGGAAACTTCTTCCTACACAAAAAATCAAAAATCCACGAGGAGTGATAACCAAAGCGTGCTAACTTGTTCACATGTACAGCACAACTGGTTAACTCATGCGCAGTGCTCTCTCTCTCTCTCTCTTACAGCTACGTAACAACTATAGCTAATGACGTAAAGAATTGATCTCTATGTCTGGACTGAAAGTCTCAGACAATGTGAAATATGTGAGTTTCAATCGATGAATACTGAGATCGTTTGTTTTCGCGAATGATAACGTTCCTCAGTTTTACTGACGATTGCTAAGATTTGTTTATTTGACAATTGTTCAAGATTTTATACAAATGAAAGCGATCGCAAATAATATTTATATCTCGTTCAGGCGAAAACGATCCAAATATATTTATATCTCGTTCGTACGGTGGCCCGTATCTGCAATCACAAATTAATTTGTCAATGCACAACATTCCCTTAAATTCAAAAATATTTGATACAAAAATAATGTGCTGAATGCACAACAAATTTACCACGATACAAATTAAAATAAAAGTTATAAACAAATTGAATATTGCAATGCTAAATAAAACTGATGAAATGCACAAAACCTGTTGTTGCAATGCAAAATCAAAGTTCAATAGCAAAGCCTACCGGTCATATGTACAGGAGACTGGGAACGAGAAATCTTAACCGGGGGGTGACAATATAAGGATTTTTGTTTATTGCCTTGTATATTAAAATTACTATCAACAACCACAAACTAAAAACTACTGTGAAATTGGCACCACAATGGGCACCACATTCAACACAACAATCATCACAACATTCATCACTACATTCAACTAAAATCTATCATGCAAAATGATAAATTGAAAAATCGTCTTTAAAACACATTTCCCATCAAATACAATAGTAAAAAACAATTCTTAACTACTTATTACTATTTTACTGTCCTTAAACATCACAAAAATGTATAAATGTCAAAAATTAAAGAAAACACTCAGCTTTATTTTACAGTGTACTTTTCATTTCTCTTATTTAGCGTATAATTCAAAAAACACGCGGTAGAGTTTTTTAAACTTGGTCATATGGTAGATATTTGAACTGTCTAAAATATATCCAAAATCTGTAAAGTGCACAAAAAAATAAAAAGAATAAAATTCATTAAGAATGTACTTTGGTATAAACTGTGAAATTGCCACCACATTCGACAAACGCGCGATGACTCAAATGCGCGTAATAAATGCATATTTAAGTTCAGAATTCCAGTTTTTAGCAAACAAAGGCATATTAATCAAAACATATACGGTATGATTTTTTAAACTTTTGCATATGGTATATATTTTTATTGTCTATAACATATCCAAAATCTGGAGAGTGCACAAAAAAATAAGTTGTAGAAAATTATCGACAAAGTTAGGTGACCCGTATGCGCGTAATATTATATAAGATTATATTACGTGCATTCGTGTCACCTAATTTTGTCGATGTTTTCTACCATTTATGTTTTGTTCACTTTCTAAATTTTGGATATATTTTAGACAATAAAAATTCTATATTATTCTTGAGTTTAAAAAAATGCTACTAAGTAGTTTTTTAGCTATAGAGCTGTTTGTCGAATGTGGTGCCAACTTCACAGTTTATACCAGAGTACATTCTTAATGAATTTTATTCCTTCTATATTTATGTGCACTCTCCAGAATTTGCATATGTTATAGACAATAAAAATATCTACAATATTGCCAAATTAAAAAAATTCTACTGTGTAGTTTTTCATTTATAGGCCTTTGTCTGTTAAAGAACCGGAATTCGTAACTTAATTATTCAAGATTGTTTTACGCGCATTTAAGTCATCCAACTTTGTCGATAAATAATAATAGCTAATCTTTATTGGCGATGCCAACATCACTGAAAAGCGGTTTACAGAGGGGTCCTATAAAAGTAACTACTAAAAAATAGAAAGAAAAAGAAATACAAATCGAAAAATATGAAGTTAAATTTACAACATTTGAAAATTAACATTCTAAAAACGAAACTAATTAAAATAGTGCTTTCTTGATACCACGCTTAAAATGTCTTAAGGCGGGCACATCTCTTAGGGAAAGGGGTAAGGCATTCCAAACGTCCGATGCAAAATTTATTGTTATCCAGTGCCCCCATATTTTGTTTGCGAATGATTTGTGGATATTTCGCTTTGATCGTGTAATATAGTTATGGTAGTTACTGTTAAAACAGCAGTGAAAAGTGTGCATGAAAAGGTTATTAACTACCTTAAACATAAAATAGCACGATGCACGGCTTTCCGCCTTTTAGAGGTTTCCAATGGAGCTTTAAAAGTGCATCGCGCATGGAAGCAGTAGGGATCGATGTTTTCTACCATTTAAATTTTTGTACACTTTCTAAATGTTTGATTTATATTTTAGATAATATAAATTCTATAATATACTTGAGTTTAAAAAAATTCTACTGTGTAGTTTTTTTGCTATAGAGCTGTTTGTCGAACGTGGTGCCAACTTCACAGTTTATATTAAAGTACATTCTCGTTCCCAGTCTCCTGTAGATATGACCGGTAGCCTTTGTTATTGTATTTCATGAGGAACGTGTTTTAAAGACGATTTTTCAATTTATCATTTTGAATGACAAATTTAGTTGAATGTGGTGATGATTGTGGTGATGAATGTTGTGATGATTGTAGTGTTGAGTGTGGTAGCCATTGAGTTCTATAAGACCTGGAGGGGAAATGTCAACCAAATTACTATAAATTATCAGCGCGCGGCCGCGTGGTCAGAAACATGGCGGATTTTGGTTGTCAAAGTCAGCGGAAAGACGCTGGCTCATAAAATAATTTTTTTTGCCCACCCAGATTTGACAACCACAATTGCGATTATATAAAATGTCAATGCCAAGCACAAAAACTTTTAGAAATTTTATCTTTAAAACATGCTGCAAACTTGTTTGGTATAAGGATGCTGAAGTAATGCCAGAAAAGGAAACATTTCATGACAACGGTAAGCAGCGTAAGATTGTTTACCAATTAAAGTGTTCAGTGTTTTGTTTTAAGTCAATACTTGAAGTGTGATGGCATATATTTTGTGGATGTTTTTAGTCCTAAGTTATAATTTAAAGTTTGTTTATCCAGTCTTATTTGTTCTTTACTTAATCGCTTGCTAGACGAAGCAAAGCAACCAATTCTTATCGAGATATTCGTATCTTATAACTCCTTGTTTATACTGAGTTTACCTCCAAGAAATGGAGGATTTTTTCATGATATTTTTCTGAAAATATGAAGCAAATATTAAGAACAGAGCGGTATTGAAATCACATGTAGTGCAGTATTAATTGATGAACTCTTTGGTACATGTACAATAAAAAATACCTGTATTAAATAGCTAGCCTGGACAATTTGACAGATTTTGAACAATCATGATGATGGTGTGTGAAGGTTGGCTTTATGCTAACAGTATTATAAATGCCATATGGATTTCTGTAAATGAATTGTTTGTTATAGTAAACAGGTTAGTGCATCAAAACCAAGATAAAAACTAATTTGTTCAATAATGTGCCAAATTATGCTCCTACGTTGAAATATTTGCTCAAGAAAAGCTTATAATGACATGCACGAAACATTAAACACAGTACTGCATCATCTGACAAAATCCATACGTTTTTCAATTCCAGATGATTAAAAATTCACATAAGATGCATTGGTTGCAATGAAGTTGAATGTGGAAGAAGCAAAAATTGATGGCAAAGCACTTTTTATGTCTTATGAAGAATTACAATATTATTTGAAAGAATAAGAATAGCAATCTAGTAAAAGAAGTTACATCTGTCTTCAACACGAGACTTTTCCAATTATGTATAGTTTCTTTGTACAAAATATTATTTTAGATAAACTTAATTTATAAGTCATTCACTGATATTTTTAACAAAAGACAAAAAGGAAAATTCAAAAAACTGATGTAAAATTCAAAAGTTTGTCAAGTTGTTTGAACCTAGGAAAAATAAGTATAGGTAACTGAAATTTATAAGGACACAAGAGAAAAGTAGTGCAAGAAGGTTAGCATTTTTGAGAATTAATATGTTCTTCTTGACATACATTACACAAGGCCATAATATGATAAATAATGACTATACAATAAGAACTATACAACATGCTAAATATCTTCACCTACATTATAATTATTTAAACAGGTTTGCCTTCATGCAGCAATAATAAAAGTGTTATGTCAGAGAAACCAAATCACTTTAATTTAAGAAATCGTGTTTTCAATGGGAAATTAATGTAGCTCTGTTCAGTAGTAGATCCATAGTTGTCAAAGACAATCCAGTTTGGAAAATCTTGGCTTAAAAAAGAACCTGCAACATGATTATAGAATTTCTGAATTTCGTTCTTTTGCTCTCCTAGTTCAAGATATTTTCTTCATAAGATCTTCGTAGTTTTATCAGAATATCATAATACCTTATAAGACACACAGAATCACTCCTAACAAAAAAAACTCAAAAATACATTCCTACTAATATGTTCCCGGTCGTAGGGTAAGCTAACTTTTCTAACTCATTTGTGTACATTTTAACTAAGATTTACCTATTCAAGAAAAACAGTTGCGTCAAGCTGTTTACAGACAGTCAAAAGCACAAGTATTGCGCATGGGATTATGCATTAAAGCTTAACGACACTGTTGCCAATGAGGTGCCAGGCGGGATACGGATTCTCAATATAAATATTAGAGCCCAGCATATAATTTTAAACATAGTGATAAACAATTTGCTTTTATAATAAATTCACTCTTTTAATAAATTCCATAAAACCAAGTTGTTTATAACTATTTATTTGGTTATCGCTTCGTTAGTCATACCTTGAAGCTAGAAGGGATGCAGGCTCCTTGCAAACATTCAGACGTTTGGTGAAAGAACTGAGCCCAGAAGTTGTACATTTAAGAAAGTCTGGCACTCTTCGTCGACGAGTTTATCATTCTCCAGGGCGAAATTATGTTTGGCTTGTGGTCGTCTACGATAAGCTCAAGCCATACAGCTTTCCGGTGCATGGATGTATCGACGGATATAGTCGTAAGGTACTGTGGTTGAAAGTATGCAGAACAAATTATGATCCTGCAGTAACAGGAAAGCATTTTTTACATACTGTCACTAAGTATCAGGGTTTCCCAACTCTATTACGAACAGATAACGTCACTGACGTTATCATGTCTGCCATGCAGGCATATTTAAGAAGCATGTGTGAAGATGATTTGGCTGGTGTTAAGGCACATAGATATGGCTCATCGTCAGCAAATAATCATCAGCAAATGGTGGTCATTCTTAAGAAAGCACAGAAGTAACTGTTGGATGAATTTCTTTAAAGATTCATGCAAGCAGTCAGGAAATAGTGCAATAGCTTAGCCATTAACATAAATCTTAAGGGTGTCAGAGCATGTCTTTGCGCTTGGAATCATTTTCTTGTCATCATGAACAGTTGATGGGACATTTGCTGCACCAGTTGTAAAAATTAACATGTGACTTGGTGTTACCAATGGAATATACTTTTTTTCTTCTTCTGTCAGTTCAATTTCTTCGTCAGCCAATTCTTAAAATAATGTACCTCCTAATTAAAAAAAACACAATTCTTCCTTTACAAAAACCTTCAGTGTCATATAAAATCACATTATCATGGACATGGAGGTAATCAATACTTGACTTATTAGATAATGGCAGTGGTTCATGAGTTAAAATAGATTAGGACAAGTGTTTGCTGTCGCTACTCGGAGTTTCACGCCGTAGGGCGATCTTCAGGCAACATCTGGGTGTAACATGAAAATGTGTGTGCCACGCCTTTATGTGCTCGTAGTAATTCCAAAACCTACACAAAAATTTTTTACCACATTATAGAAAACTAGTCTATAGAAAAAAGGATTTGAAATAGAATACACAGCTAGATATTATTGACTTTCATCTTAGATGATAAACAACTCATTACTCAGCACTGACATTGTAATATTTCAACTCATCAAGCAGGTGATCATATATCGAATTGCATTTGATCACAACAAACCATTCTATAATTTCTATCGAAAAATAGTTTTTATTTGCTAGTTTAAGAGATGATGGTAAACCATCAATCTAAAGAAATTCATAATTTTTTAATGTTAACAACTGCATTATTAGTTATTACGTAAGTTCATTTTTAATTGTTTTCTTGAAAAAACGTTAGGTAACAATGAATCCAATTTGAAGCATGTTATCAATCTTTCATGTTAGTACTCAAAAGCTCTTGTTACGAAAGAGCAATGCATTCGGTCATATGTAATGAAGATTTAATTTCATCACTAAAGGGTACTTCAGTACCAGCTCTTTCCGTTAAATAGCAGAACAAATCTAAGGCCTCCTTGGGACTGTCTGGATATCTGACACCTTCGTGATCCATAACATACTGAAAGTTTTCCTGATATGAACTTTCGTCATTGGTGTCTTCGAAGTGACGCAATTTCATTTCATCAATTTTATCCTGACTGACCCTAACAAGATAGTTAGCACCCCCAGAATCTTTTGGCAAATAAAATAATAAATCAAGAACTCCTGGAGTGGTTTCATGGCGAGATGACCTAATATAATGCGTATTCCAGTACGCTTTCACTTTGTTTAATGATGCTTGAATTACATTTTGGAAACAGAATCATAAGCACTGTCTGTGTAATGCACTTTCAAAGTTCACTGATCCGCTATCCCGTAAATCCTTGAAGAAGTTAATCCACTAATCTGGAAAAGTTAAAGTATGTGATCACAATTAACATAAGACTACTATCACTTTGAACAAGTTTTCATGCCATCTTTTTTAATTTATAAAGTTACTGCGTCTTACATATTTATAATATTGTTGCGATAGATCCTACTTACCAGTACAAGACTTACGAAAATGTGACCACCAGTTTTTAATCCTTTGGTTTCTAATGGATATTGCATATTTATGAGCATTCTCATCATCATGAAAATAACATTGAATGGCTGCAATATCACCATTCTCTGTTTCATAATCTGAACGAGCTAACAAGGGGCATCCACCATGTTCGATCACAATATCCAAAAACAATTTTGTTGACTGTTTTGGATAGTTGTTTGACTTGCATATCTCCAACTACAAAACCTTCCAACTAAAGCCATCAACTGCTGCATGTATAGAGAAGCCAAAGGTTGAGCTTATCATATCCTGTATGGAATTCATATTTATTTACAAAAATCTATGCATCAGTTGTGCTGGCGAGGACATGGGTAAACTCTTCCCCCCCCCTCTATATTTCCTGCACTAAAGCTTCATATATGAGCCTTGAAAACGTTGGTATTATCAAACAGTACATAACATATGTAAATGACATTTAGAGGTGTTTTTCCTTGGCTCCCACCACTGGTATGCACCATGAAATAGACAAAAAAATTTAACATATTCAAGTAAACTGAAATTTATTATCAATATGCCAACAGCGATTGGGCCATAAGACAAGTACTTTCGCCGTTTAAGTTGATTTCCCTTTATTTCCTTACTGGCCTTGGGATCTAGTTCATGGACAACATTAGCCTCAACACTCCGTGGGGCATGTAAATGATGATTTATTTAGTAGATGCCAAATTTTACAGTAACCAGAAAGTTGTCCAGCTCCTTCCATTTCTGTTTATACAATATCCTTGAGATATTGCTCATCAAAATTGACATTTCTTTTCTTTAAGTTATATTTTCGTAGTTTTCTTTTTAATGTGCGGACACACGTCGTAATACCATGATATGTTTTTAATAAATTGATGATGTCATCATACTTGTATCCCAGATGAAAATAGTATTAAATACAATCTTGCTCGTGGTGACAGGCATTTTGTGGAAATTCTGCAAATGCAAGAAATGTATTAATTGAAGTTTTTTTCAAAATGTTCGGTACATTTCCCTGATATCACAATAGTGTATAATAGCTCACACAGGGGATGAATCATACACATAATGACATAATGCATGATCAAATCCTTCACAGACCACCGTTCAGTGATCACTGTTATGATACTATTAAATTTACCAGAAAATTCCTCTCCGCAGTTATGATAGTATTTTGCTGCCTCATTAGTAAACTCCGTGCCACATGCGCTACGAAAATGCGCCATTTAAAGGCCTCACTTTCGCAATACAAGTTTCACTTTGTGGTTTCACTTTGTGGTTTCCGCCGCCATTTTCAATTGCTAGAATTTGATATATTTTAAAACTAGAGCCGGTATTTGCCATTTCTACGGAGAAGGTCCATTTCTACGGAGAAGGTCCATTTCTACGGAGAAGGTCTATGTCTACAGAGAAGGTCCATTTCTAAGGAGAAGGTGTATTTCTACGGAGAAGGTCCATTTCTAAGGAGAAGATCCATTTCTACGGAGAAAGTCTATTTCTACGGAGAAGGTCTATTTCTATCGAGGCCTATTTGTACGGAGAAGGTCCATTTCTATTGATCAAGTTACAGTTAAATAAAAAGACTGCACATGAGTTTTGTGTAAAGAATTCGTGTCCCTTGTGGGGCACCGTAGAAATGAATGCTTAGAACTATGATATTTCAATATGATGCAACTTTTACCTTTTTTAAGAGAATTCCTTACAGTTATTTTCAACATTTCTTCCAACTTTGGTTCTATGCTTTCACCTTCAATATATTGGCAAACTGTACATGAAATAACACGAGGCAGTTCACCACCTTGAAGAATCATTGTGGCAAACATGCGTCCAACCATTTCAAAGTATCCATTCTGAAAAGCCATAACGTTGCATCTGATAAAATTGCCAAGCGACGTACCTGTTATCAAAATTAAAAAAAAATGCATCTTTAGGTGTCACAAGATTTTCACATTGACCTACAAAAGCCTTACTAAAAAACATTTGCTGTCTTTAATGATTGATCCAATAAGTAGGTGAAAAGCCGTCTCCGAGGACCACCATTATCAATCGCAACCTTCTGCTCTTCAGTTTGAATAGCAACAAATGTGACATTCAGGGTGTCTTTTTGTTTCAAAAAGGCTTTTCGCCTTATGGATGGCTCTGTTCTATCCCAAATATTCAGCCTACTGATTACAATTTACCGAAGCTCTCCTGTAACTTCAGCCTTGGCATGTTCTAAAATGTGGTGCATGAGAGATTTGTCATATAAGTTTTGTTTTTCTTCATTAAATTTTTCAAAATGCTGACCACTGTGTGATCATTCATGCTGATCTAATTGTTTTCTTATGACCTCTTTAACAGCTTTGTTCTCATCAAAACCCAATGGCCTGAATAAAAAGAACATGGATACATGTAAAATAAAAACTCAAGCTTAATCAATAGAATACTACTTACATAAAATCTTCCACAGAAAATGACTGAATTACGCCATGATAACTTCAATTTGAACAGCATCTAGTTGGGCATCTAAAGGCTGTAAGCCTTTATTATTTTTATCATATACCAAATATTCGTCATCTACCTCATATTCACTTTGAAAATATTCCGATATTGGAATTTTACTGTCACTACTTTCCTTCAATAGACTCACTGGGCAAAGATACAAATTAATTCGAAAATGGGCTTTGCCTAGATCTTCTTTATATATACCAAAACATATCCACGATCACGAGAGAACTTACTGTCATAATCTTCCCATTTCTTCAAGGCTGCCTGCCGCACCTCTTCATAATTCATACTTTTTCCAACTTTTACTGGAAACATCTTTCCAAAAACTCTTTTGTGCTTCTCTCCCTCGCACTCCATCAGCTCGATATTAAAACGCCGTCCTTAACGTTTTTTGATAAACGGGATTTTTTTAATTTCAGCTCGAAGTGCGAATGTCTCTCGGTTTCCTTCTCCTTCATGAATGTTGATAAACTTGGCAGAGAAACAAACGAACCACCAGAAGGCGAAGTTGTGCAACTAGGAGACGAAGAAGCCGAGACATTGTTAACCGAAGTATTAACTTGCAAATTACGAATCATTATATCACTAGTACTGCTCCTCTTTCTACCACAACTCGGACAGAATATAAAGGAAGCCTACAAACTGTAACCACAACCAGCGCAAAACATTTCGTTCAGCGACAGTTCTCTTATTTTGTCTTATAGCTATAATTCAAACGTGCTGAATTACGAACGAATTACGATTGGTAAACCATCATGTGGTAATCAGACTCTCTTTTTCTATATCACCCCTGGTTAAGATTTGTCGTTCCCGGTCTACCGTAGATATGATTTGTAGGCTTTCTTACAGAACTTTGATTTTGCTTTGCGCTAAATGGTTTTGTGCATTTGGTCATTTTTATTTTGCATTACAATACTCAATTTGTTTCAGGGCCTTTTCTAAGAATTTCTCAGTGGGGTGTGTGTGTGGGGGGGTGGGTGTGTATGGACAAAAGGGTCTAGTATAATATAGTAATATAAGATGTATAGAAATATCCATACGAAACATAATGAAATTATTAATTATTCCCATTATTGTCTTATTCCATACAAACTAAAGTCTGCGAAACGATTTCTTTAATAAGCGTTTGTGTCCTTTTCGAAGTCAAGAAATGTAGATAATGGATGATGCTAGAGATTTGTATTTCGTTGACCCAAGCACATGCGCATTTTATATAAATTAAAAAGAAAATTATGAGATTTAAAATAAGTGACTATCGACATTTTAAATTAGGGAAGGCACTGCCAAATCGTACTTTGCTACAACTAATGTGAACATATCAAAATACAAATCGTGATGAACTCGATGTACCACTTGAAAGTAAAACAAAATAGTTTCTGCTTTTCCGTTCGTAATATTGACCCTGAAATCATTTAATGATCCTTGTCCAAAAGTCGTGCATCAATTGCATCTAGATTTGCTCAGTTATTAATTTGTTCGTATCTACTAATTGTACTACTTGTGCTTCCAGGGAACAATGTTTCTTGTGGAGAGGGCGGTTTGCCATAAACAATAAGTGTGCCTCGTGCTCTGCCTATGTAAGGTCCACTAGTCTAGAGTTTTGATAAAATAGTGCGCTAAAATACCAGGCAGCCAATCTAACCTAAACAGTATCGCATACACCACGTCCCAATCTAAATTGCAACTTCCGTTTACCGAATAATTCCCAACAATATTACTATCAAAATTGTGTTTTTGATGTTTATAGTGTCCGCCATGTTGCTTGTAAGATTGCGGTAAATGGGAATTGTGTGAAATAATAAAGAATATGTGCCATAGGTCAGACATTACAGCATAGGACTTGTCAAGAAATCGCCATGGAAGTACGATTTTTTACGTTTCCTGTTTTGTGACAAATATAATTGATACATTAGAAAATCATATTTTGCACTATAAACGATACAAAATATCGAAGTAGTCACATAAAACAAAGATGCTCAAAAATTTTTTAACAGCATCGAAAATCTGTAATTACATTTTGACGGTGATCATCCACCATCATTTTTTGTGTCATGAGTGTCAAAAAGTTGACAAGCTCATTTCTTTTACAATTTTCAACGTTGCAATGTCAGTGAGAATTTATGAAATTTGATAAAGCTTATAATATTGATAAATTGTTCTCAGAATATTTGTTGAAAGTTTTTCTTTAGCATGTTACACATACAAAAAAAAAATCATGAAAACGCGAGAAATCGCATTTCCGACCTTTCAGCATTAAAATTTTCAGGAGGGAAGCCCAGACTCCTAAACTTGGATTCGCCCGTAATTAAAGGACTGTTTCTGTTTATTTTAATTGTTTTGAAACAGTGCGACAACGTTTTTGTCTGATGAATCTTTAGAAATTCAACTAAATATTTCCACCAAAAGTTTTTGCAAGTGTTGCACGCTGATCACTTTAAAGACACATTCAAAGTGTTAATATTTAATATATCTTGCATATTTAAAGCAATAATTTATCTTGAGGGCTTTATAGCAACATCTCATCCTGTTTAGAAACTTGTCAATTCTTATTATTAGTTAAAATACGTGTTAACATTTTTTAGGGCAGGCGGTGTTTGATGAAGCATTTCTCATCGTTACACCAGATGTGGTTCAATATATTGTTGATCGCAAGAATACTAGCCTCATGTGTCATCCTTGGGGAGGCCAAAGTCTTGGGTATTGGTTAAACGATTTTAAGCAGGTGATTCCCTTTAGTGACAACAAAAGGTTATTATCGCTTGATTCTAAAGTTATGAAAAAAGTTATGCATGAGAAAAAAGTATGTGTAGAAGTTATGGGTCTCCACCATTCTTATCCAAATGATATGAAATTATTTTGGAATTTATATTTGAATGAAACTAGTGATGGGCAAATTAGCGTCCCTCCAGTTATTTACAACTGTAAGTATCGGTTGGAAATGGATGTAAATACTCTTCCACGTTTATATACCCGTCCCAAACCATGCAAAAATAATCCAATTTGGAAAACGGAAAGTTTTTTTAAAGGATCTGAACATAAGTGGAAAAATAAGCGAAACATGGCACTGTAATTGTTTACACCTTTTTAATCATTTTTAGTTTTTATCTTTCGTTAGTGACGACAAAACGTATCGTGGAATACTATCTTTAAGAGAACTAATTAGTTTTCTGCCTGATGTAACCTTAGTTCTTTAATATATAATGTGTAATCATACCTGATATATTGTTGTAGACAATAAATGCCACAATTTTACGACAATTGTTTTTGTACTGTATACTTCACTTGCACAGAACACTTCTACCCACACAGTTTTCCCCAAGTAGCACAAATAGGTTACAACAACGTTATGGTAACTTTCGTATTAGCGAGTTTCCGAAATCACAACGGCGGCGACGTGTTGTCTGAATTTTTTCAAAATTACGCATGCGCAAGTCGGAGGAAACCCAAAACAGACGTTCTTGCGTCACGCCACCGACGTGAATTGAATAAACATCACGTTTCAGCGACTACCGGAGACGAAGGAAGTAAACATGGCTGCGCTGGGTGTTCTGGAGAAACAAAAAAGGAGGAATAGGTTTACTTTGACCAGTGCTATTGCTTAACGCCATTAGTGTAACAAAACTAAGTGCTTTGATGTATATTGGGACGATGTCTTGTGTCATCTGGATGATACTGACAATATTTTTGACTCGAAAATTTATAGCAACAGCCTATATTACAAGAGGTTTATAGAAGTGTTAAATATTTGCTTTTCTTATGCCTAAACGAAAACAAGCGTAGCCTTCACTCTTTAATTCAACTCTTTCGTTACGTGGATAAGCATTAATTGTTTTAATACATGTCTATTTGTTTAGTAAACCCATGGTTTTGAGTTCCTTGCATGATGACTTGTTTGTTCTCGAGATAATTATGTTTGAGCCATGTAATTTCGAGAAAGGTTCACCTGAACGAGGGAATTGTTGGAAAAATATAGCAGAAAGTTTTTGAATCAAATTGCTAATCCTTTGCTCAAAGTTAATGACAGATCTGTTAGAGATAGATTTAAACTGCTGGAGAAAAAATATATAAAAGAAACAAATGAATTGGGTGGAGCATCGAGGATTGCACCAGAGGAAGAAGTTAACATGGAAAAAGGCTTGCTTGAAATAATAGAATCATATAAGGATAGTGATTTGACCAAGCTATTGGAAAAAGAGAAACAAAAAGAGGCAACTGATAATGAAATGCAACAAGCAGATGAGCTTCGGTTGCAATCGCTTAAAACGGTAGGGAAAACTCCAAAAGGAAAAATAGTGATAGAGATGAGACAACACCAAAAAGAATTCGGAGGTCTGATGATACAATAAATTATCTAAGAGAAAAAAGTGAGAGAGAGAATTGCATATGTGACAACAAGAGTTGGAGCTCAAAAAAGCAGAATTGGAGGAGAAAAAGACTTTAGCAGGTGATTATGCAGAAAATGGACAAAATCGAACTTTGCTGCAGCAACAACAACAACTTAACCTTGCATTGATACAATTTTTAGCAAAGCCTAATGAACGCAAATAAATTTCCTATCTTATGACGTTTATCTATGTTTCTGTTGGATAAATTTTTAAGAAACTTTGTGAACTGTTGATATTAATACATATTTTTTTAGAAATAAGACTGTAAACATTAATATTTCATGAAGTACATTTAAGGTACTTTCACCTTAAATTTGTTATTGCCGAAGGACTTTTAGCTATGATTTCTTTAATATTTGCGAATCTTGGCATTTATATGGAAGCGAAATCCTACCTTCCTTCAAATGTATTTCAATGGACAAAAAATCTGTGGCCATAAGGTGCCATACCAATGGGATCACCACTATCCGCCTTCCTCGCAGAAGCTGTCTTGCCACACCTCGAAACACAATCAGTCACAAACAACACAAACATCAAACTATGGAAAGATATGTCGACGACATCTTTGCCATAGTCAAGAAAGAAAAAACTGAACAAATCCTACACACCATAAACAATACCACAAAGAACATTACCCTTACTAAAGAGGAAGGGACGAAGGGGATTTAATTCCCTGGAGAGTGAGCAATCACGAAACAGGTTTGTCGGGATGAATCTGTAGTTTTGTGATTTTTCTCAACACCACTATATATATATATATATATATATATATATATTTATATCATCGCAGGCTCAAGTTTTGTATAAAAGTTATGTATAAAAATAGTCATAATACCTTTTATAATAACAAAACCCGGAGGGATCGTTTGGTGACAGTCAGCGGTAGTAAACATGAAAATAGAGAGGGTGACATGTGATGATATACCTACATATATTGGTTGATGAAGTGTAATAGAAAATATATAAAAACAAATATAACACAAAAAAAAGATATATTTCATAAAAAAAATATATTTCATAAAAAAGATATATTTACTATACAGTACACAACATTTTCAATGATGAAAGTCCAAAGTCCAATTTACTGATGATACAATTTGCTTCGCTATGACACATGATTGAGAAGAAAGAATCGCAAATATAACTCAGTGTTTTCACCAACTTTATCGTCCCAAAACCCATTAATCAAATCCTCTATTTGTACACAAACGCATATAATAGAATTTATAGAAGCTGGTATGTCACACATTGTAAATTCTGTATTCATAAAAGTCCAAAGTTCAACTTATTAATGATACATATCGTTTCGCTTTGAAATATTTAGTGATGGTATTGCTTTGAGTTATTTCTTAAAAAACGACTTCTAACGATTGCAAACAGCAACATATTCATCTTGTTTCTTCTTTAACGTTGATAAAAAGAATTGGAAACATATTCAGCTTCACCTCTAATCGATTTATATGGAAATTGATAAAGTTCTTGTTCATTTTCTTTAAAATTTAGCTGATTCTATTGAATTCTTTCTTTTCGATTTTGCATCCAATGAACAATATTTCCTCTCCAAAGAAATTCATCTACTAAGTGTTTCATTTTGCAATCACATTTTGCATTAGGATATTTCTTAGAGTTTTTTTCACATAGTTAATACAGTTCAGTGGTTTAGTATTTTGCTATGCATTGTGTATTGATGTATTTATCAGTTTCTTTGACATCATGTAAATAATACCATGAAAACAAGCCTTACAATGATTATTATTAAACAATCATTGTGACGCTTCCTTTTATTGTTTTCTTTCTTTTTATTACAAGTACCCACTTCACAACATTTTTTCCCAAATAAATTTATTTTAAATTAATAAAAAAACTTTTTTTTTCTCATTTTATATCCTTTTTTACTTTCTCATACATATCTTTTATATTAAACTCAAATTCCATTCTTAGAAGATTTATAAGTTCATCAATTTTCTCTGCAAGTTTTTCTTTCAATTTTGTTTATTTCTCCATTTATTAGTGGTAATATTTCGCTAAATTCAAAAAAACTTTTGATTCTACAGAAGATTCAATTTCACATTAGATACATTTTGTACATAATGATTGCTTACATCTTTTTAGAGGAGAAAGATGATGTGAAGTAAAATTATTAAATTCATGAAATGTCGATTTTCCAAATGACGGATTTCTAAATCCACCGTTATTTTTGGAAGGGTAATGCACATCATATTTTCCCATCTTTCTTTATTCAATACCAATATGCATATCTTCCCCTACAATGATATTAAGGATTTATATATTACATTTTTTAGTAAATAAATAGAAAAAATTAACATTTCGTATCTTTTATTTTAAAAAAATCATATTTCTTATTTTTATAAAAAAATTCGAATTTATTACTTTTTTAATCACCCTTTTAATGTGAAATCTCCAATAAAAGATTTATTTTTGATTTGAGTGTTTTGCTGTCTAATTGATAATGACGAAATCTTCAAATGAAAGTATTACTTTTATATTTGAGCGCGATGAAGATTTTGATGAAGAAAAATAATTAAGTCAAATTATCATGAAATCAGAATATATATCTAAATTCCTTGATGGTGGTGGAATGATTATTTTAATAAAGAAATTGAACATGAAGAAAATTTAACTTCAAATTATGCGATGAAGGGATGATAATCAGCCAAAAGATAGTATTGACATATTTATAGAAAAATGGATGACTACTTTTATTATCATGATGAAAAAAAATACACATATTATACAATTGGATTTAATTAAAGTACTTTATAAAATATTATTGAAAAATTTTAATATTAACTATATGATATATATATATATATATATATGCAAAACGTCATTTTGTGTAGTAATTCTACCCTGTTACAAAAGAATTATTGTCTTAATTGCTAAAATTTCGACAAAAACGTTGCTGTCTTTAAATGCAAGTTTAAGATGAAAAATGAAATAGAAATACTGTTGCAGTCTTCAGATGTATAAATAAAGATGTAGTATGCATTACGTATCAACTTTGAAGTCTGATTGACATTTGAATGTTAAATGAACAGCATCATTTCTTGCTGTTGATAATGGCTGATTGGCGTAGTAGAATATTCATAACTGATAATGATGAAACCTGGAATAAAGTATTTTTGAGCAAGGATTTCGACAGCATTGTATTATCCGTAAGAAAAAGTTTGCTGCCAATTTTTGTAACGAATGTAAACGATGATTATTCGAAAGATACTTATCATTGTGTAAAATCTGGTATTTGTAGAATTAAATTACATTGATCATTTCATTGTGATACTTGTGGATTGTGTTTCAAATAGGAAAAAGGAAAAAATCAATATCATATATGCAAAAAAATACTGTACACGATAAATGCATGATATGTTTGGAAGATGCATTATATGGATTTGGAATGTTAAAATGTGGGCACAAAATACATTTTGATTGTTTGAGACAATTATTATTAAATGGGTTTTTTAGCTGTCCGAAATTTAGAGGTGATTTATTAACACCAACTCCCATCCCATTAATTAAACGAGCAACTTTAAGACCCGTGTCTGCTACAATCTGATACAAATACCTTTTTTATTATATGAAGTATTATATGAAGTATTATATGAAGTATTTACAAATTAAGATATATAAGCAAATTTTAGGACAATTTTTTAAAAAATACTCTATCGTGTTGTTTAAATTAATTTCTTGGTTGAGTTCTTTTAATTGATGAAGTAATTTTTTTCTTTTCTCAAATAGTATCAATTAAAAGATTTACTTCTCCTCATTTTTACATATGATATTTCCTTTTAAAAGTGAATAAAGTTGTCTAATAACACAATTTTCTTTGGTGTTTAAATATAACATATTACAAGAAGATTCAGGATTTTTAGCGGTTTCGTTATTATATTCTTCAAGTTTGTTTATTTTGATGTACGTACTCTCTTTTTTTATACTTTCAGTGGCATTCATTAATTGTCTTTTTTTCCTAACCATTCATTAATATTATGAGGAGGACTTGTAATTACTAGATTGGGATGAGCAAATACTTGATTCACAGTATTATTATGAGGAGTTGTAAATCCTTTGTCATGATTAATTTATTCAGGAGGAGGAGATGTACTTCCTTGATTTTCATTCATAGTATTATTATTAAGAGAAGTTGTGTAACCTTGATCTTCATGAAATTCAACGTCTTCAAGTTCTCTTAAAATAGTGCGCGGTGTGGGGATATTGTAATTTATGAAAGAATACGTGCTTGGTGACATAATATTTGTAGTTGACATTGGAGACATGATATTCATAAGAGTTGTATTTTTTCAGTAGGAGAATTTTTTGTTGAATATACATTATTAATTATGGGTAAAGAAGATGGTTTTTGAATATCATCATGATAAGTATTCAAACGAGTTTTACTATCACTTCTTTCAGTATCTTCATCCATTGGTTGTGGTGAATCTGGTGATGAGGATGCACGATTTTGATTTCGATGGACGTTGTCTCAGAATTTGTCTTGGTATTTGTTTCAGTATTTGTCCAATTCGGTATTGGTGTTTGTAGAGAAACATATTCATTCTTCTCTTGAAATTGGTTTTCGTCTTGAAATTGATTTTTTTCTAGATTATCTTTTCGTTTTAAATGTTTTTTCTTTATATTTATTTCTCTTCATAAACATATCAAAACGATTTTTGTTTCTTTTATCTTTCAAATAGCGTAAAAAAATTCATATGACACGTTTGATTCCATTTTTTGTTTATAATAAAGGAACTTTCAACGAATACGCTCTTATATAGTACTCGAATTTGATATAAAAATTGTATTTCCTTTCATTTCGTACATTTATGGCATGATTACCCTTGGTTGAGCTTTTTACATACACTTGGTTGTACTTGGTACAACCTAATACAATTTTTTGCTTAAATTTAGAACATAAATTTGACTTTTTAATTTGATTGACATTGCTGAGTGTCTAGAAGTTCTAATTAGGATGCTTTGCATTTTTTGAAGTCAATGAAAAATAACTACATCTTTTTATTACTATATATGTTTATTATATGCATGATAACCTTAAACGCTTCATATTTGCATGCTTTAAATTTTTTTGGTTTGTAATACAAAATTTTTATGAAAATTGTTTTCTTATGGAAAAATCATTTGTTGCTCATACATAAAAGAGTCGTTGTTTAAAATTGTTTGCATTGAAGAACTAACGTGTCATATATTTGTTAAGTTTGTTTTATAAAATGGAATCACAAGGATGAACTGCAAACACATCAGAAATTCAAGTCCAAACACATTTAATTGGCTCAAAAGAAA